CTACATAAATATATATTGTATTCCTAATATATATGTATGATATTCTTAGATCCGGATGCCGGGTTAGAGAAACACCGCCGAAAACTCGCATTTTTGTCGTCAGTAAACGACGCAAACGGTGGATATAATTGGATATAATACCGCCCTTGGCGGTTGCACGTGGTATCGTTATGAAAAAAATCAGAAAATAGGTTTAAATAATTGACACACGGGGAGGGAGTGGGGGAGGCAATTTACCCCACACGTATTCGCGGAGAATATAAAAAGGCAAAACGTGCTCAATAAGAGTTCAATATTGAAAACGCATTGAGAGGCGTTTAGTTTTATAGAAGAGACAGGCCAAAGGTTAAATAGCAAAAAAAAAACCCTGACTCAGTAGTGTTATTATATAGTTGTGTAAAAAATATATTATTGTTGAACAATTACAAAAAACTCGAACAGTGAGGATTTTAAACAATAACGATATTATATAATAAAAAAAAATCGGTATTTTTTTCTTACATCTTTGACTGGACGACAGTGAAAATTCATCATGCTTTAATTCGCAGGTTTTTATACAAAAGTATAAACAATTATCTAACGTTAAGCAATAAATCAAGCCAAGGAGTAAAACATAGACTAAGAATTTTTAACGGGACATTTCAAAAACGTGTGTGTCGACAATTTTCCAAAATTGTTATTTTTGGAAAAATGACAAAAACCACAAATTGTGATCGCACGCAAGGTGTGAACACGACGAGATTTAAGGCAAACAGTTTATATTACATTAATATTATTATTTTTTTTAATACCACGTTCCTTTTTTTAATAGATTATTTTTGGAACACTTAAAATCTCTGTCGTCGCCGTTACATTTTTGTCTTTTTGTACACATTTTATTAGCTCAACGACGTCCCCGGTGTATAATATGATTTATTATAATTAGCTACATTCTGTAGAAGGTATATGAATATATATTTTTTAATATAATGAATAGCAAAAAAAAAAACACCGGCGGTGTGAAAATAAATCAAAATTTATAAACGCGTTATTTTAATACACAAATGTGATGTGCGTAAAAAATAAGGTAACAATAATAATAATAATACCGGCAAACGAACGCTGAATAATTAATGTGAAATGATGACATGCGGTTGCCTATACAGCCGTTCTCGGGGGAACAACTGCGGTGGTCGTCAGGTGAATATTACAGAAGAAGTGTTGCAAATCCACACGGAATAATTTAATTTCCGCCATTGTTGTTAGCAAAGATTGACCAGATAAATCCCTGTAAAGGCATCTCGACAAGTTAATTAAACAATTTAACATCAAGCACCGACACCGGACGTGAAATGGAAAAATACAAAATATTTCATACTTTATTAACCGATTAAAAAAAAAAAAACAATTAAATTATTATAACACAACTGCCACGGTTCATTAGTCAAAGACACGATAAATGTTTTTTTTTTCCAAGGAGACTCCAAGTAGGTACGCAGGATCCAAAAAAACCCCTATTCGGTTACATACAAACTTTAGCCTTAATTATGCATAGACATAATTTTTAAAAGCGGATATTGAAACAAATTGGAAATTTATAAGAGGTATAGATTTTTGTTAATCTTTTAAAGGCAAACGGAGTTGAGAGTTTATTTAAGTGGCACTATGCAAATCGAAATACTAAGAGGAAAAGCCATTTCGCAAAAATAAATATATCGTTGGCGATTCAATTCAAATACTCAGCTTTAACGAGTTTAAAAATTAAGAATCAAGTTGAACGAGTTTTTTTCCTCCGAACCTCTTAACATTTTACTCGTTGTTATGAATATATTTTTTTTTACCTTAAAAACGTAATAGTTTCTTTGGAAAATGACTTTATAAAAGTTACAGAAGGGAAAACATTTTTGCTGTCATGTTTTAGTTAATCCAATTACCAACGACTAAAATTCAATTTATTTGGAAAGTAAAAGGGAGGACGAAATATTAATAAACGAGTTTATTATTTATTTGTGCCATAAAGTCTTTTTAACTCAAACATTGTGCTAATTGCATATTAAATAGTTTAGATGTAAAGTTAAAACAAGTGAATTATCAATTTTAAAAAGGAACTTTAAACTTATCGAAGTATAAAGAAAATATAAAAAAGTATAAAGTGTAATAAGTTTTTTAAAAAAATGTTCAGTTCATATTTGATCTATTATATTGTAAATAAAACAAAGCAATTGTAAACGTTGATGCAGATGATAAAAATCTGTATAAAGAATTAGTGATTTCTTAATAAATATGGTCAAATTTGCAGACTCACGTCGTTCTTATCAATTTTTTATCACATCTATTATCAGCTGATATCTACTTACCAACCGATATTTTTACTCTACATATCTCATTCCATCTGACTCTCACAGTTATCACGTTCTAATCATACCCGTTATCAGCTGTTTTGTCCTAACCAAATTCCAATAATATTAGATCTGTCATCAGCTGATTTTTATCAACCGGTGTTTCAGATTTTCCTTTAACGCGAATTTCTGAGATTTACCTAAGGTTTTTCAAGTCATATCATGATTTTTTTCTCTAAGCTATTTAGGATCGGTCGGCAGAATAAGTCAATGAAAGATGATCTTGATGTTGGTTTTTGATCAATTTCTTGAGAGAAGAAAACGAATTGAAAATAAGTTATTTGTCCAGGTCTTTCCAAAGCAATAAGTGGGACCAAGTACAAACCGGAAAACGGATCTTTAAGTACAATACATTGTGGCGGCAATGATAGTTACAGTTAGAATGGTAATTAAATTTGGGTAACTGCCACACATCAACCGTCAACGTGGCTAACGAGCGGTGTAGAATTGTCAGAAGTCGGTAAGCGTTATCGTTTTTGCTAGGCCAAAAACGGCAAAATCTCGGTTCGGCCACGCCGTTAAATGGCAGACAACAAACTACAACAACAACAATAATAAACTTTCTAGTTGTCGGAGAGACCGTGCGCGGTCTGCGGTTAATATAATCCGGTAACCGCACAACAGCCCTAAGCGTCCCGCAGGCGTCAAATCCCCCCCAAGCGAAATAATAATTAGTTAAAGAGATTACTTTTCGGCTCGGCTGCAAGGCGATTATTTTAGACTTTACACAATATAAAATGTACCCTGTGTGCTTTGGATCCGAGGAACCCTGCATGATATAACCATAACTTGAGACGTGGCACCACAATATGCTCCAAATTTTCGATTTATTGAAGCTAGGCAATTTTTTGTCAATATCTTTATACAAAATAACAATTATTTTGATTAGTGTAATAATAACAAATAATTATACACAGTCGATTTCGTTAAGAAAATAGCATCTATTTACAACGTTTTCTTCAACACTATTGGTGAGTTATTAATAACTGTCCTATTTTATCTGCAGTGGGGATAATGAGATCTTGAAATGTTGGTAGCAATTAGATAACAGTACAACACAATAACCGTCGGGAGATGTTAAGACAAAGTTGGTTAAATTTTACACCTAAAATTAGCAAAGCGTGGCGTCTTCTTAAGGATATGGGTAAATTGTAAGAATAAATTTCTTTCTTTTTTTCTTCTAAATGCCAATTTACATCTAAATTCTGTTGTTATAACACTAAAATAATATACTAAACCCCGTTTGACATTAGTCCATTGCATTTAAATGAGATTCACTGTCATTCACTGATAAATCATTATAATTGTTTTTTTAGACAGAAGTAGGTAAAATTATTGTGGTTGCCCCTCCAAAAAATTCACTTGACCTTTCCGGCCCCCCTAGAAAAAAAATTCTGGCGCCGTGTCTGTCCAGCACTCAGCATTCGGCTATAAAACTAATTGGTGTAGTCCTTCAATGATTTCCAGATTTCTTAACGTGTGTACAGTAGTAGTAGTAGTAGTAGTAGTAGTAGTAGTAGTAGTAGTAGTAATAATAATCATAATAATAAGGATAACACGAACGGCAGCGTTATAGGATCTATCTTGTTATTATTGCCTGCAAGGTTGGCTAATTATTTGTCAAGGTGTGTAAAACTAAACACAAGTCTGCCGGCGCTGCACGTGTCAGATTTAATTGGACCAAATCCGCGATGGGGTCGCTTAGTCTAAAGACCATTTGCCGAATAACGTGCACCGAACGGACCAAGTTATCTCGTACTCACTTAATGCTGTTCCCTGAGACGAACGACAAACTTTTTCAAAATCGAATTAGTCTAACTAGTTAGTGTCTAGAGAAATGGAATTCATCATTCAATAATAAACTGACAAACGGGAATGTAGAATAAAAACCGAAGTCGCTCGATTAAAAAAATTCCAAGTCAATTCATCGGGCAAAGCCTACTTGTGCGCACTTACAAGGGAGCAATCTTTAGCTATCTCTACAATATATAAGAAAGAACACATCTCTCTCATTTAGCTCGGCTTGACAGACGCTTACTACTCTTCAAACGTCCTTAAAGACGTTTGCGTGGAATTTAAATTGTAACGGGCAATTGTGTTCATTTAAAACTGGCATAGAAAAATAAAAGAAACGTCAAAGGTTCCTCCCATCCCTGTCGTTTTACCACTGCCGGAAAATGTGTTTCTTTATACTGTTGACCCGAGAGATCACTAAACGACAGTAATTTTTTTTCTTCAAAACGTCCACCTCTCGGTTTGGACGTTGAATAATGGAAACACCACATGTTTGACATAGGTCGCTTGTTCATCGTTGCAGAACGGAAAGCGTAAAGTGATCTGCTTCTTAAAGTCTTATACGTGTCACAGGCAAAAAAAAAAGCGCAGGTCTAACCACCTGTCATCTTTGTAAAGACAAAATTACAGGGCAAAGAATCTAGACGTCGATTTTTATAAGAAAACAACTAATTCGTCCGTAATAGTTTGTAGTCTTTTGACGCCTTACTGTTTTTTGAACTTATTTAGATCATTATTTTATTTACTCGATACCTGTTGTCAACTAACTAAGCATATCTCTCTTCCGGACCATGAAAGCGTCCTATTAGTATACTTGACGGCACTTACCTCGTACAGGACGTCTAAGCTGATCGGGAATACCATATGTTCGACGATGACCCGTAAGACGGTGTTCGGACCTCCTTGCACGTCGCTTTGACCGGCCAACGCCTGGGCTGCTTGTAGAGCCGCTTGGGCCGACGCGTTCTGAAAACCCAAATTAAAAACCGTTATGATAAATGGACAGACCGTGTTGCCGTTGGGGGAATGGCTGACAACGGCTGTGGCGGTGGTTGTTAAAGGATTGCCATTTTGCTTTCTGCATTATGTATAATACCTGCACGCAGGTAAGGCAAGGTAAAGGTAGAGAGTATTATTAATATATTATTATTATTACTATAAAGGGAGTACGTCCATTAATAATAACCGATGGCGGCGTCGGTGCTGTGACGGGACAACAGCGAGCGAGGAGAAAATGGTGCTGATGCTGGCTGATGCAATACCGAAGGGGTAGTAGGTGAATATAATATTTTATGGGCGTCAAAATATGTCAGCTAGGTAAAGCTTTTGCGTCATACAAATGTATGTTGTTTTTTTTTAATTTCGGACCGGCGACTGTGTGGGGCTTACCGGTGTTGTTCTTCGACCGTCATCACATTCCCTTCGTCTCGCAGAACTCGGTAGCGTAGGAGAAGATAAAAGGCGTTAGAAAGACGCCTCTCGTCTGCTGCTTTGCAGTGTATATAATATGTGTGTATGTATGTGTGTATTGGGCGGCGGTTGACAACAACAATACGGGATTTGAAAGCGATGACGACGGTGTGGATCACAGGCAACGCGCCACCACGGCGGAGGACGGTCGGAAAAACCTCATAACGAGTAACGTGTATTAGTATAGTGTGTGTACTTTCTGGACGTTAATAAATGGCACTTGTAAACGACGTCTGGTTTTATTCGGTACGGCTGCTGCAACAGTTAGGGCAAACCATTAGTCAGCTCTGCCACCGTCTCACGGCGGACATGGGGGATTTGTAAAAGCGAGAGCCCTTTCTCGCGTGCTCGACCGTCGGCCGCGCGCCCGTGTGTAATTACTCAACTTGTCCGCTCGGGTACGTCACTATTAATCCAAACGACATGCTCGTCGAATCCCTTTTTGAAAGCATCGTTCGTATCAACACACACATAGAAACACACTCGAATAACGATGTAGTGTCCTGCGGTGACCGTTTCCCACGTGCAGGCGAACACAAACGTTTCGCAAGTGGAAATATTGCCCACCACCAACCCCGTAGGACACAAATCATAATTAGACCTCAAGAACGACAGCGCCAACGGTGTGGACATTGGCAGGAGCCTTTTGTAAGCGAAAAGCTCTTAAGGCTAATCATACCGTTCCTAGTTGACCGCTAAAGACACGAACATACGACCGTGTTCTGTTGGATATTACTTTGTTGTACGTCTACTCTTAGATTGTGATTGGTAAAAAAAAAAACGTTCATTGAAACTCAATAATGTCTAAAGAATATCCAAGTAAAAAAAGGCGTTGCGGATAACTGTTTTAATATTTCTTCGATATTTCCTCTCGATGGCGATCAACAAAATCGGCCAAGCGGTTAACACACTTTTAAACAGAACCGCAATGAATCAATATCAATTTAAATGTTCAATAACAAAGTTAAGGAGAGAAATTGTACACATAAAACCATTTTAGCTGAACGATAAGCTGTCAAATGAGCTGCCACAAAGTAATCTATCGGGTTGGTAAATTATTTAAAAGGTTTGATTTCGCAGAAGTCGGCAACTTTTTGTTTCTGTCCACCGTTGTTTTTAACTCGGTATCGGTCGCAAAGTTTACGAAACTTTGTCACCGCTTTGGGGTTTCCACAGTGTGTTTTTATCGATTGTCCGCAAACTTCCCTGACAGGTATCTGTCCCGTTTCCGGCTTCCGTCCCTTTTCCGGAACGTATGTCTATTTTCCCCCTTCAAACAGATTAATTCCAGCGACAAACGGAAAGAATAAACAAAAAAAAAAAACGCACAAAAATACCGAAGAAAACCTAAGGGAAAGAGATCAACGACGGCGGCGGCGGCAGGGAAACCGAAGCTGTCACCGAAGTTTTCTATTTCAATCCATCAACCCGGGAGACAACAACAAAGAGAGATATACCGTTTTTCTTTTTCCTAATTTGTTTTACAAAAAGACCACCGTCGACAAAAGAGTCCTTCTCCCCCCCCTCCACGCATGGATCCGACGTGGGTGTGATTATCAAACGCAATCATATGTTATTACTGCGGTTTTGTAGTAATTTCCGGACGTGGTGGTGCGGTCGGAGCACGACAAGAAAGTGAGACAAAAGTCGTTTTAAATACATTTCAGGCGTGCGTTACCCTTCCCCTCCACTCCTCTCCCCGCCCTCCGGTCACTACTATACACTAGACGACGAGTAGGTTGACAGCCAACGGGAAAACAACAATGTCGTTACGCGACGACGCACAGGAATGTACGTACGTACATGTGTGTGTGTATAAAGCAGTTAAAGCTTCCTTAAGAAGGGCGCACCATTAAATAAACGTTTATCCGAGACGAAACCCCCCGGCGGCGGCGGTAGTGGTGTCGCGTTATTGCCGCATCAGCCATTACACAATATACTACATATATATGGATTTATGGCAATTTTATGATGTAAAACGTACACCGAGGTAAATGTTTTACGGTTGTCCGTAAACCCGACGGTTATTGGATTTCCAACTGTGGAATTTGTACGGTGAAAATCGGCAGGCCGACCCGGAATTATATGTAGTTCCATACACCTATATACGCTATAAATACACGAACGATTATTGGGTAATTTCCGGCACGTTTTTACAATCGTCATCGCCGTTTTAGTGACGGGGCAAACGAACGTCCGTCAACGAAAAGCACACACACGCAGAGTGTATACAACGGAGGAAGGTCTCTACCGGTGAAGTGTTGACACGAGAAAATCCTGTCAAAAATCAGCGCCTGTATAAGACCGACGTGTGAATTTTGCGTATTTCATTATAACAGCGACGACGTTTAACAATTACAATTCCAAAGACGTCACGATCGGTTAGCAGGCGAAAGTTGGTCGTTTTCCAAAAACGAATTTCGTCGAGATCATAACATTATAACATACCTAATCGTATTACATCCCAACGATTGCAACGCTAACGAAGTGTACACACACACGTGTTTAATAATAATAACGCTATAACCCAATTACCGGCACACTGGCAGTAATTGGATTTCATATGCTCGGCTTTACATTTTTTTTTATCCCTAACACTTTACATTGGAAATTATTTCTAAAAAACGAACAGTCCAAATTACCGGAGGTGACGCACACCATGTCATCATTGCTGTTAATTATGGCAATGAACGCCAACAAACGGTATTACAAAGACAACCTAACGCAACGGTTTTTTTGAATCGCCTAAAAAATAAATTTTCCGGACAAATTAGACCGAAGTGTGAAAGATTCCGAGGTAGTAAACTCCTTCATGAAGACGCCGGTTTGTGCAGTCTAAATCCGTAAGTCGAGTGTTTGTTTTAAGTCTTGAGACGGTAAGAAATTAAAAAACAGAAGCATCGTTGCGCGCACAGTAAATGTCAAACGAACCGTTTGCATCCACTCGGCAGTTGGGCAGACGTCGACGACGACACACAAACGATGGCGACACAGAGTGAGTGCAGCAAAACATAATTAGATAGTTAGGTATATTGTGTATCCTTTGGGAAAGGGACGACAACAACGTTATAAGTTACAAAACAACAACGTGTGGTAATAAACCTTTTTTTTTTTTTTGCTCTCCATTTAAAAGCACTTCATACGAACGTGTCATGCGATTAACCGTTTTGTTTCGGGTTACACCGGCTCTTCATTAAAAGCTCCGCACATAAAGGTAAACTAGGTAGTAAAACAAGAGCCAACTTGAAAGCACTGAGCTCTTCTCGTTCGTATGTACACATACTGGATCTGTCGGCTATACAAAATACAAACTTGTTGTCAGCAGCAAAGCTTAACAACGTTTGCACAGACAAGAATAATTTATATTTATAAAAAACGATTGATGTACTACAATTACAAACGAAAAAAAAAAATGCACTTGCTGTATGGCGTCCGACCTGTCGCTTGGAGTTCAAGGGACGTTAATTGAATAACACAAAATGCTATTGAGGTAGTTCATATTACTACCAAGCTCAACAAAACTATGTTGTAATATTATATCTCAACTGTTACATTATTTCTTTTTGATCTATACGACACTCATTGGCTAGACCAAATTTGTGGCACGTCCCAAATCATTGTGTTATCTCTACTACGCTGAATTGTTGGGGGATGTGTGCGCTTGTTGTCCTGAAACATTGTTCGCTCTACTGCGGTTGATTTACGTAGGTCGACGAAAAATTAAAAACGAATTGAGATAATATGGGACACGTTCGGTGTACAATAATTATTGTAGGAATCATCCGATATACCTATTATATATACTATGTTATAATAAATAACAAATAGCCACGCATGTACAACCCTTTGTCGGAGGGAGAGGAGGCCGTTTAATATCGCTGGGCCAAGATTTACGATGTGCACACACCACCGTTTGGCGTTGCGGAAACCGCGGGAATTCGACGATAAGTATCGGTAACCTTAGGTAAGAGGAGGGGGAGAGAGAGAGAGACACATTGAGGGGAGGGCATCGATCAAACGGTAGCCGGTAATCTAACGAACCATCTCGTGCCGTTGGCATAACGCAAATAGATGACCAACGGCGAAGTCTAAAATCATAATATAGACGAACAACATTATTACCGAGGGAAGTTAGTAGTTTTACCAAATCGAAAAACAAAAAACCCTTCCTCTCTGTGACACCGGACTAGGGCAATGTTTATTCTACGACCGAGCGTTAGTAGCAAACGAGAAATTAAATGCAACACTGGTCTGGTGGTAGTTTAGTAAACCTTTACATAGGGTCCCTACGGTTTTCCGGAGGGAACGAGGATGTTAAAAAAAAATATATGAAAGCCTACCTATGGCGGGGATGAGAGAGGAACAAGGCGAGTATAAAAAAAAGGGTTTAATTCGTAATAAGCTCGTTAAAAGTTTTTAGCGAGCTACTCTGCTTATGCTACGGCTGATGGTTGTTACTGCCCCGTCATCGTGCTCGATCCCTCTCTTTCGCTTCTCCTGATTTGCCCCTTTCTTCCGTCTACTCTACCAAAGCTTCCGGCTGCGTTAACGGCATGATACTTTTTAACGATTCCATAGGTAAAGCGCGTCGTCACGAACAGACGTCACTAGTAGACTACTACCGGTTATTTGTATACGACAATAAGTACCGTCTTGAATATTATAGAATAATAATAATAAAAAAACCGCAACGCAAACAGGAATAAAGTATGCGACCGTTCAAAGTTCGTAGGCACCGATGCCAATCAATTTTCTATCTTATTTTTTTCTGCAGGCAACAACACCTACGTCCATATTTCATCGTTCTGATTTCAGCCATTTTCATAATGATCACTTCAAAATCTAAGAAGGTAGAAACTCCTAGTCTATGGGATATATTCGTTTCCTCTGAGAACCGCCATGAACTTTTAACCCGAGTCTATGAAAAATTGCGTTACACGACCGGAAAATCATAAGCATATATTTGGGTAATACCGAAAACAATATGTATCTATCCATCTATCGTCGTCTACACGCACTAATGCAGGTCTTCTTTAAAAAAAAACATCAAACGTGTCTTCTTGTATTCAATACCGACCACGTTCGACAGTGCTGTTGTTGTTGTTCGACGGGTTTTCTCCGTAAGACCTTTGTGTGCGTTTTCGATCGTGAAGAGCGCACGTTTCGACCAACCGCACATGTACTATAGATATACACAATATCTAAGAAGCAAAGAATAAACAATGGCTACCATCGTGTTACCGTGATGTCGAAAATATTATTCCGTACCATGCACGGATGATTGGTTTGAACCGATACAGCCGAATCGACGGCCAGGCACTAAGTATGTGAAATGGCACATTAAAACTACAACAGCCTAACAGAGATGATCGATAAGCGTGAGACCAATTAGCGTGAGACGACGCGACGGTCGTGTTTAAAATATAAGCCGTACCGTCAACAGTTGTAGTTTTGGGACACGAAAAAGGCAATTAATATTAATTCGTTTAAGACGCTTGGAGGAGGAGGGATTAAAAAGAATAAACAAAGAAAAAAACCACCAGCCCCTCAACACCGTCGCGCCAGTTAACATACAAATTCGGATTTGAAAAACAAAACTCACCATATTATTTAAATCTTACACATTTAAAACCGAATCGCCGACGACCGCTATCCGTGTGCATAGACCTTGTGATTTATCAGGTCTCAAACACCGGTGTACGCTGTCGTTAATTTTTTATTCACGATATTTTTTGTACTTATTATACTTATTATTGTTTTTTTTACACCCACCAAGCCGCTGCCAAAGTGCAAACAAACGCCTACTTATTTTTGACAGGTAAACAATCGTTTAGGGGCATGACGTGTTTTGGCCGTTGTTATAGATTCACAATTAATAATATTATTGATCGACCCATATGAACACATAATAATATACAAGACGGCCTACCGGGTACACATATTTGTTTGAAAACCGGCTAAAAACGATTGAAAATATGTAACGATAATCCCCTATTTCTCTTTATACAAATCACTATCAGAATTTTATCAGCATGAGTTTTTTTTCATCGAAAAATGCTATAGCAAAAAGAAATTATATCAACCCTCCTTCCCCCTCGTTAATTTATTAACATTTGTATAAGCGCAAAGGGGGCAAAACGAAACTCTGAGAGCTCTTTTACAAAAAAAGTCTGCCGATGACGTACGAGTATATAGTTTTTGGTATAAGCGACACACGGGGAAACATTAAAAAAACAGCCGGAGGGTTAATAAAAAATAGCGGAACAAGTTGTGTGATTTTCAAAATTGAATTGTCACGTATGCATCGACGACAAGCGAGTGAGCTGAATTATTTATCTATATATATATATATATATATATATTTGTTACACACACACAATCCGGTCGCATACGTCATACCTACTGTTAGTGGCGTTTTATGGCATAAGGGAAACGACGAGAAATTGAAAAATAAAACAAACACAAAGCAGATGAGGTGCACGAGCACATATGTACATACAAAATAAAAAAAAGAGACACCCGAACACGGTGGAGGAAGGTTAGGGGTTTATTGTTGATGGATGGTTTACTATTGCGCGGCACTCGAAAAAAAAAATATAATAATAATAAAAAACTATTGTTATTTCATCTTTCACCCGCTTTATTATTTGCTCCCTTCTTCGTCTGCGGATTTTCGATTTTCAGCACAAAACCGATAGTAGGTGTTAAAAAACAAACCCTAAGCAGACAACCGGAGGGTGTGGCGACGAACAAACAATAAATGTAATAGCTTGCAAGAACATAATAATAAAAAAATAATAATAATTTTGTTTAATAATCGTATTATCTACTTGTAAAATATACATTATGTCGCCACCTACGTCTTAAGGATAATTTGTATCGTTACACAGCGAAAAGAGGCGTTTTTATTCGCAATAATAATAATTAATTAATGTAATTAACTAACCGATAATGTAAGTTAAATAATTCATTAAAACCGCCGCCGTTACCGCGATGAAAAATCATAATGGTATTAAAAAAATACTTATGATTTTTTTAATACTTTATATTGATTATAACAAGTAGAACACAAGTCATTTTTAAATTGGTATTACAAGAACTGCTCCCTGATACATTTGGGTTGTTTGGGGGGGGGGGGGGAATCGATCTGGGCAATATTACAAAGTTCTAATTGACCTACCGCGTTACTGTGGGTCTGGTCGGTTTTCAGTTCCTTGTGGTTGCTGAACTGTATGAAGACGGCTCGTCCGCGTAGCTGAGCAGTGCAAGTAGTAAAGTACGTCACCATGGCCGACGCCGAAGTCTCGTCCGCCATTTCCAGAAAAGCCTGTCAAATACAAAAACAAAGAAAAATGAATTAAGCACAGAAAAATGAATTAAGCACAACGATTACTTGTATAATATGATAATACTTAGTAAGCAGTGGGGGGGGGGGGGCGCACAACCAGAATCTAGTTGGGCGAAAACAAGTAAACGGGACGACTCTCGCCCGAGGGAATTATTTACTCGTTGCACATTATATTACACATCAAAGACAATGTGGTGACGGTCACAGGGGGGTGGGGAGGGTTTCCACTGACGAATCTCCGGGTAATTTAAGTTAACTCGGTTTTGCCCAGTGTGTTTTCGCAGCGAAGACAATTTCGAAATTTCCAACCGTCATTGGATTACTACCCAGGAATCGTTGACTAGAAAAAAGTTTTCATAAAAAAGCAGCGCACCGCTAGTGTACACTAGCTTAGAAAAAAATGAAATAGCCAACGACGTTTTATTTCCAAGTGGTTTTCCTCTGTATAAAATATCCCGCATACAGTGCTGCAACCGTTCCTTAAACAAACCACTCGGTTTCCCATTAAAGAAATGAAAAAATATAAAACCCGTACGGCCATTGTATAGACGACGAAAGCGGTATCTATATCTAAGCACACGATTGATATAAATGTCAACATGACATGCCCCCATTGATTGTTTACCCAAAATTACAGTAAGAAACGCAATTTTAAATATGTATTAAACAGACTCCGTTCGGTTTTCTTTCTCCCACAAACGCTTTATTGAGATATAATATGTCCGGATGTAGTACTTGAACAAATATTACATTTATGGTTAGGATTTGATTGAATTTTAGATTCATATGTGATTACTTTCTTACAATATATATACTTCAAATTGTTTTTTCTCAATATATTTACTGCCATTGTAAATTTATAAAATGAAACCTGTACCTAATGTCTTTACCGGTGTTCTCCTATATTTTAACTTGGAATAAAAGTCAATTTAGTGGTTAACTTTTAACATAAACTATGGCGCCAGCCAATTTACTAACGTTTTAATTTCAAAATAAAAATTGCTACCTAACCTTTCAAATGTCTTCTGCGAGAGGCCTGACCGATTTTTAAGACAGCAGGTCGTCTTTTCTAAGCCATACCGACTCTGGTGCCAGTAAATAAATAGGCGTAAAAACTTTCTGATCATATCTATGATCTGTTACTGTACAAGATGTGGTGTTTGTAAAAAATATGGCACACACTACATGCGTTTTTATGGTTCTTCAACTAGATTCGATTGAATAAAACGACGGCCTTCTATAGCGTCAAACCACAGAATTGTACGATTGGCTCAAATGCGTATATTGCATTTGCCACAACCGCCATTCAATTTCGTCGGCACTCTGCCGTGTCTCGCTTATCTCTAGCTTAAAGTCTATACACAGGCAAATACAAAAACACCGACACCTACTTTCACCCTACACATAGGTCCATGGGCGCTATAATCGATTTCGATTTCTTTGCCGGGAAAGCAAAAAAATGATTGCCAGAGACGCGTATCTGAAGAAGACACCACATATACATTCCATAACTCGGAGGGTGTTTGTTTAACGAAGTTACAAGCATCAATTTTCTACGACGAAACGAAAAAAAAACCCTAGTAAATCCCTCGACATCATAGGTAAACACTTAACCGGGGGGGGGGGGTCAACAATAATTAGTGGTTAGCCGGTTTTTCTATTACCGTTGGTCGTATAATACATCCGTTTCGAAAATTTAATTCGTCATTCGGGTACCGAAAAGAGATTATTATTTTTTTTTGATCAGTTTTATTTATTTATCCGAACATAATAAAACTCATGGCATTCGTCTCTGATATTCTTCTTCTGTTCCGCAGAAAAGTTATTAGGGAAAATATTTCTCCCAAGAGTGTACTTACACCGCCGCCAAAACGTACGAACACAACAGGTGCCTTGTGTGTTATATATAGGCGTATAAGAAAGCCGAGGTTTCTCCTCCCCTCTCGATCGCACAACGGCAAGTACGATCGGCGGTGGTTTTAGCATCATTTTTTTCACTTTATTTTTCACAGTAGTCGAATCCGAGCGAAAGGGGAGGGAGGGAAACTAGCATAACGAACACAAAAAAAAACCCCAAGCAAAGTCGATTTAATGCGTTCCGTACCGTGTACGCCGGATGGTTTTTTTTTTGATAAATAGTCTTCATGCCGATCCCACCCTTTACACGCATAAACTTTCTATACATTCAGATTGCCGGTGTATACCGTCGCCGACTCCAGCACAACCACGGCGACGTCCATTGTCCGTAAGTGCAATGTTTTTTGACAAAAGGTGACAAAACTTTTTTGGACAACTCCCGCCGCCAGCCACCTACGTCTCCTTGTCACGACGACGATGTCTTAGGAGAAGAAAAAAGGAGAAAAAAATTTGCTACAAAAGCCGAGTCGTTTATCATCTCGCCAAACACTTGCCGCCGCCAACCCTTCCCCCCACACTTCTCCGTTCGCGCACCAACCCTAGAGTGTAAAGTTTGTATTATCATCCTCCGTCGGACCATCAAACGCCGTATTGTTGGTTGCACGTGTACCGCCGCCGCCGGGTTTTATATTGATATTTCTCACTGGAAAATATTATATTACAAATTCGCCGCCTGACAAAAATAAAGACTGGGAGGTTTGGAAATTTCCAAAAACAGTACACTTCGGTAGAGTTCAAGTCAAGTTACAAGCGTTTTGCTTGAGCTCGGATAAGATACAAATAGTGACTTATCTTAATCGTTTGACTTCTATTACAACACAAAACGCTAAAAGAGAAAATAATAAATAAACGTCTAATTTTGGCTGTAAAACGACGATAATACTGATCACATAACGAGTGGAAATTTGACACACGTTGGATAATTGATTGCGTTTTAAACGCGCGGCGCAAAAGGTTGTTCCGATTCGATAAACTTAATTTGAAAAGCGTATCTTTTGTGTTTTCCCGTTCGTGTCGTACGATCGTTAATCATTATAAAATTAATTGATTTGTTGTCCAAGACAATAACCGTTATGGTCGATGGTGGACACTTGCCGCAATGCCGGCGACCTCCTTCGGAAAAAAAAAGCTACTAATTTGTAATGATAAAATACTATCTGACAATGTACAATAGACACATACAACGTTTCACACAGAAATAGTTATTATAGAAAATAAAGTCATTGAATCGAACAATTTGTGAGACATTTAAATTAGAGTACAAAACTTTAATGAATATTTTCATCATTATCTAACTGACGAAATCATATCGTCTGAATGTAGTCGATATTTTCCAAATATTCAAAAGACAATCGCGTTGACAAAACTACCCTTTCCCGCGGCCATTGCTCACCATAGAGTTAAAAAAAAAAAGAAAAACAAGTAACGAAAACAAGAAGGGATCGAGCATCGGATTAAGCCGACTCCGCACGGCGGATAAGCTTAATGGAAAAAAAGTTTTTTAGCGCGCAGCCGTTGAAAAGTTTTCACCCAAAAAGATTTTCCAAATAAGAATTTTACAGGATTTAACGGCCATACAAAGTGCTGCCCGGCGCTACTATTAGTAACGGAAGAATTTAATTTAAAAAAAGGGGGGAGCACAACTACTCGACGACAACCTTAGTTATTGCATCAATGAAATCAATGTAAAATTCGCATTATACGACCAACCCGATAGCATATTATCTATTTGTCATTGCTGGGTATAAAAAGACTTCTCAGCACTGGTCCGACTTGATTGATAATCCTCATTTTTTTTTTTTGCAATTCAAATTATAACATAACACCCTCGGCAATACTGATATTGGTAAAACCGCCGAAATTCAAAAAACGGCTGTTGTCTAGTTAATATCATTGTGATATAGACTCCCCCACCGATCTCACTACAAGTCCTATACTACACTCAGATTTCGTAGAACGACGAGACCGCGGATAACATATTGGAGAGAACAAAATCCAATTCCAATTTGTTAACAAATCCTCACTGCCTGTCGTAGGTTCCACCGCCGCCGACTCTTCTTCTCCTTAGTGCCCCGTTTTCTCGATACATGGTTTTCATTCGACAGACTTATCCCCGGAGAAAATTGATTCAGTGGTGTGATGTTATGTGAAGGCTCCGCATCACGTCCACTGATCCCGAGGAGGGGGAGGGAGGTATGCTGAGACATCCGGTGGTATAAAAAATAAACCCAAAGACCTATACAATAACAATATGCCTGCCTATACATGAAAATAGAGATAGAAAAATATATAAGACATAATAAGCGTAGCGCGTTAAAAGAAACGGTGGTCTCAAAACAATGATAGAGAGAAAAATAAAAATACATTTTTTTTTTTTAAAATCATATTAGGTTTTTTTTTTGAGACCAGTTTAAGCTTAATAAAAATAGACACACACACACACTATATTATATGATGTGTGCATTTTTGTTTCTAAACAATATCTATAGTATGGTTATTGTATTAAGGGTATTGCATTTTCAATTAACATCATTGTATGTGGCTTGTCGAAGTAGTACTATTCAATTTCAGAACAACAATTCGTCAAAGTGCCCAAGTGACTAAACGGTGTCGTTTGCCAAATGTTTTTTGCAATCGAGAAAATAGTGTTTAATTAAATAAAAAATAGTAACATGTGTGAAACTTTTTGCCAACAGACAAAATAAAAAAACGATGAAAAAATATGTACCCCAATGCGCGACTCACAAACGTTTCGTATAATAAATATTCGTTGGCGTTCGTTTTTGTGACGACTGCGATTTTTCTCACACAACGTTCTCTGTAAACATTTTAGCGAAATGAATACGTTGTGTATTATTTTTTAGTTTTTCATCCGCAAATAAGATAAACGACACACGACGAATACACGGGGGGTTCAAGGAATAAAATATAAGCAAACATTTGGCAAACGACACCGTTTAGTCACTTGGGCACTTTGACGAATTGACACTCAAAAACTACCCTTCGGGCATATTCTGGGCCGGAGCAAAACCTCGAATAGACTTGACATCATCAGTGGGGGT